GCTGCAAAATTAGGGCCAGGTTGTAGCTTCAGTCAGCCGTGCAGGAGGTGGAGGAGGAGCACCAGGTACTCCAGGAATAATTTAGGTGTGGCAGCCAGAAATTTTGCAGCAATCACTGAAAGAATACAGCAAACACTGTTGCTACCCCGCGTTGGCTCAGCCAGACTGGTTGGTGCTGCCTTCATCTGGGGAGTTTATGGCAGCTCTGAATGAGAACAATGCTTGTGTAGCTCTTTATACTTGTGCAAAAGGAGTGTGAAGCACTATTGTTCCAAATTATATAATTTTACATGCACCTCTACCTCCCATGCTATTTTTATCAATACAATAATGCCCATCTATTCTCACAGATAGCAATGCTACCATGTTCCTTATATTTCTATCTTCGCATATTCCGTATCTGCACAGTTGAAATTCCTTGAGGCCTGAGCCTCAGGGCAGTTTGTTGAATTTATGTACCATTCCCAAATGTGAACTTGATTACCCTGCACATAGAAGAGTTTTCACATTTCAGATGTCACAGAAGAGCCCGAGAAGAAAGACAAATGAAAAACTCATTGAGAATTGTAAAGACATGGATTGTTTCTAGACTGTATTCATGTAGCACCTGTTTATGACAACTGTAGGAAGGGGTGAGTGGATTTGCTAATTCATATTTGCTGTGCAGAACTCCACGCTGCTCTGCAAAGCTGAAAGATTTCCACTGCTCAGAGGGACCTTTAAGGGCAAATGCCACTATTTTCAAAGTGTCCACACTCACCAAGCCATGGTAGTCTGTCAGGTATTCTGTCAAAGCCTGTGGATGCTCATCATCCATAAGAAAACTTGGAGTATTGAATATACTTCTGTGTTGAGGTAAGTTTAGGGTGGTTCTACATTGTGACACCTCTTAAGGCCTCACCATATTAAAACTGGGCATTTTATAGCCGTTTTGTGCTGCATATGATGTTCTGGAGCCATGAACAACTTCTGTTGCTTATATGTTTCTTCTTTCTGTACAGACATCTTGGCAGACAGGAAAGAGAAAGACCTATATCTTTCCATGTGGCTAGGGATGTATGCAATGCATCTCAACTGTTGCTAAATGCTATGTCCAACTTTTTGATTAAATCCATTATCTTCTATATGTTTACAATTTTTGCTTGCAAAGCTGTGGTCTCCACCTGAAACCATGACTTTCCAGTTAATCCTTTTATTTGATTCTGGCTGACACAAGATTGTAGTTTGTTACTGTTCCTGTACATTTTAATTGCTTCTGAATCATCCAAAAAAGGAGGCTTGAAGACCATGGCAAATGAAAGCAGTACCGTTAGTTTACTTTTTTCCTGTTTTGGCTCAAAGAAGAATGAATTCAATTATTCTGATTAGGAAAGAGGCTCAGTAAAATTAATTCTCACTTCAGTTTGGTGAGAGGACGTTCTTCCTTTCCTGAGCACAATGAAATAAAAAGCAGACATTGAAAGGGGTTTTTTATGAAAGGAGTATAAAAATCTCAGGCTATAAATTCACCGTGACAGTAAAAATATGTATCAAATTCTTTGATGGGTTGGCTTTGTGCCAGTCAGCAGTCTTTATGCTACATCATGTGTTGTCTACATGAACATTTTTCACTTTATGCTGCCATAATCTTTATGTGTCTGTCCTCTCACAAGCTGAATAAATGTCATATAGTACATTCTGTCTCATATGTCACAAGTACTATTGTGTGTCTACCCTGGATCCATATTGGATTAGTATTGATGAGAGATCCCAGGTACTTTATACAGAGAGAGTATCAAGGAGGATATATAGAAAATACAGATATGAAAACAAAGCTCAAGTGCTCACTTTTAGAAGCAGCTGCATTAAAGCAGCCTGCTGAAACATATTTTGGAAGGTCATTCTCTTACTTTGGAGATGTTTGGGAGAGGTTTGACAATTTTATTAGTGATTGTTTATTCTTTGAGGTATAAACCAGCCATTGTGGCTTTCACATGACTAACTGTGGAAGTATCTGAAATAAAACTTGTAAGTAATGTACTTTCAGAAAATTCTAGAAAAAGCTGTACTATACATAGAAATGCCACAATCTCAGATCCCCCCAGACCAAAAAGTAAATGATACCTAACCGGCAAGATAGGAATCTCCCTTTTCTGAAGGCATAAAGCTTCCACTTTTAGCTCTGGAGTTTCATGGCCTTCCACCTGCCACTGGGCCAGAATGGTGACCATTTGTTGGCTTGTGGGGCAGTGACATTTCAGAAAGAAATTCCACTTGAAATGGAGAAAGTGAACGTTTTTCAGAGGTATATATTCAGTTACTTACATGACAGCTGTTTGAAGAAAGAAGCCAAGCACTTAAAAGAATTATTTTAAATAGGCAGAAATTCTCAACAAACCATTCAGCTTTCTTTTAACTGGATTCATACAGAAAGAGCAAATAATTGAGGCCAAAATACATGTCATACTGTGTTTGCATTAGCTGGAAGGTTTGGAAATAATTAAGAGCAAAACTGTTAATACTCCATTTAAATAGCTGCTGCCTATCTGTCCAGTATGAAAGCCCAATCTGTTGTATTCAATCAGCTTTCAGCTGCTACTTGCCAGCAGCCTAATTCCCCAGTCTTGTCTCTGTGCTGTGCTTGTGCATTCCACTACCTGCTAAGTTAAACCCTGCTGTCCTGGTTCTGCATGGAGATTTCTAGTGCTATTCAAACTATCCGCGCTGGTTCAGAATATAGCCCCCGAACCTGTGGGCTGTGTTGATATCCATGCAAACATGCCTGGTTTCAGTGAGCGCCACATGGGTGAAATAGGGCGTCAGCAGCTGTGTAGTTTAGCTCACAGGATTAGGACAGTGTTCATTCATGCCATTCTCTGTGCATTTATGCAGTTTTGACAAGCTGTTGACTTGCAATATTTCCACCTCAAGTCCCCTTTTTTTAAGTGAGGCAATTGCCAGCGCACAGTAAGTTGCTCATCCAAACTGCTATTAATCATGGTCACACTTCAGATGATAGCATATCTCAGTTTTCCTAAATCTGAATCTCTGCATTTGTGTTTCAGGTTCAGCACATTCGCTAATCATTTATATATTGCAAGAGGATTAAAAAAAAAGTAATAACTGAACTCCTTATACGCTTAGCTTGTGCTAGTTTCTGTGCAAATTGTGAATGAACACTATAGGGAAGTCTCTGCGTAGGTCTGATGGTTACAAAGCTGTATGGGTAGTGTTAGAAATACATTGCGATGAAAGGTGTTTTCAGATTGAGAGGCATTCTAAGCCTCAAACCTGTACCACCAGTTCTTTGCTAAGAAATCTGTACTAAAAATGACAAAGTTCATTGCCCAGGCATTTGGAAGGAACTAAAGTGTAGTTCATTGACCTTTGCAGGTGAAGTAATGCACATTGTCATAAGGAAGTGATATTTGAGTAACAAACAGCAAGTGTACACAATTATCTTTCACTAACCTCTCAACAGAGGCAATCAGGATTTCCTGATCCTAACACATTTAGTGATCTTGGCATCCTGAATGTAGGTTTTCTGTGGACACATTAGTTCTCTAAGCATGTCTGAGGATGCTTAGTGCAGTGCCTGCCTTTTTTTTTTTTTTTTTTTTTTAAATCAAAGTGTACATACACAGGAAAGAAGGAAGAACGCAAAGGAATGGGTGTGTAGATGGAATACTGAAGGCTCTGTGCTCTGCTCTCAGATTTAACAGAAACCTCAGTGCCTGACTCTATGTGCCTCAGTTTTCATGTAATTAAATGGGACTGAAGTGTTTGTGTAATACACAGAGAAACGTACTTCCACTTAAAAGTCTTTGAGATAATGAACAGTAACAGAGCAGCAAAGAACAGCGTTGCTACTTCTGCAGAACATTTATATTACAGAAAGAGGACATGAATGGAAATGAACCATTTATATAATTAAAAATGTGAATGTAATAAAAGTTAAATATGTTATTTTTTCTTTTATATTTTATTAACTCAGGATTTTTCTAAAGTTTATGGGAAAAAAGTTATAGGAAACTTGGTTTTGCTTTCTTCTGGAGAATGAAATAATCTGTTCAAGTGCAAATTAATATGTCACATTCTTATATGATTTGCAAGAACATGAATTAGTGGGTCTTATTCTCTAGCCTTTCTTTCACTTTTCTAATTCTACATGACAATTATTTTCAGATTCACTGTATTGGTCTTTCTTTATGTGACTTGTTGCACACTGAAATAAATTGGCCACACTCTGCTAAAGCAGTGTTTTTAAAGCTGCTTCTTTTATTTATAAATTCTTGGTACAGCATTACATGTTTTTGGAAAATTACATTAGTGAAATAGAGAAAAAATTTCTGTTCATCAGCCTTAGTGCTTGAGCTCATAAATGTGTGACAGATGCAGCAAAAAAAAAAAAAAAATATTGGAGCAATCCAGAGCCCCTGGACAAGAGGATCACTTTACCTCAGGACATTGAGATAATTTATCTGGAAGGCTTAGAAAAAAATGCTAGATAAGACTGAAATTTGGAGAGGCTGAGCACATCCAGGCTCAGCCTTTAGATTATCAAGAAGTGAATAAATACAGCAACTGGCATCTGAATATGTTAATGCTGAAGATTCTAGCATGGAAACAGGAAACTGTATTTATGAGGCAAAAATATATCAGAGATTAATTCAGTTCTATATATAATATATGCATTTTACATATACAAAATCTTTGCCAAAAATCTGAATAATTTGCAAGCACATTGAAGTTAGAAAATGCCAAAATAAAGGTTGCCTTTCCATGCATATGCCCTAAAGTAATCTTTAATTACATGATTCCTGGCTTCTTTTTCTAATCCTGAAATTTTCTAATTTCAGTGCATGCTTGATTTTGCAGTCTTAATATTGTCTCTTTTAAATAAAGACTTCTGGGATGTATTTCCCCAGGTTTTCAAAAAAGCATTTGAAAATAATGATATTCCATCCTACTAACATCCAGGTGGGTCATTATCAGATTGTAACCTTTATCTGTATTCCTAGGAGGCTCCTGAGCAGCTACAACTGATGTTGGTGTGATGTTGATGTCTGAGCAATGATGCTGTGTGTCTTCTGTCGTGTGACATAAAACTGCAGGTGTCAGACAAGAGGACTGGAAGGTAAGGGATCATGTGAACAGAGTTTTAAATAAGTTACTTATTATTGCTCTTTCTCATCCTTTTCTATTAATTAATACTCCATGTTGTGCAACCTTTAACAACTTTGCTTAGACAGCAGTCACGGAAACTTCATCACCCTGATTCTGAACTGCCTTGTACCATATGCATGGTTATTTCTATTCATGCAAAATGAATGTAAAAAGTCAATTTCTGATTTGCTAACATTTTAAAACTACCTTGCACCTAGTTTATGCAGCTGTGAATGGTAGCACATAATGCTACAGTGTGCAAATCCAGGCCCATATGCTGAGGAGGATTACAAATTAAGCTGTTTTTTTCACCATGGTTGTAAGTCAGACTGACAGCACAGAAGTTGGATCCAGTGTGCTAAATCGTTATTCCTCGTCTACTTCTTTCTATTGTGGATTGAAGAGTTTTGATCAATAGTGGGAGCATGCAAAACCTCATAAAAAATATTTATTTCCTGAAATCTATTTCCATGTTTAGGCAGTTAGTCTTTTGTATTGATAACTGAGAGGGTAATATTTCAAATCTCTCTCTGTGCACAACAGAAATGTTCCAAAACTAGTATTCACTTCTGCCGCACTGAAAAGGCTGTGCAGTCCCAAATAGTCACAGAAGTGGAGCTTTCAGGACTCAGGAACCCGACTAATGAAGTAGTTTAGAGGTAGAAAAATCCTACCTGTAAAGATTCAGATAGGGTGTGAGAGGGTTAAGTACTTACTGTATGTTACTTTTTAGTTGATTAATTTAATCCAGGACTATGCACCTAGTACTGAAACTGCAAACTGAAAGTTCTCTGTAAGATCTGGAAACAGCAATAGGCTGGCTTCCATAAATAATACTGGAAGTTAAACAGTGATTTCACAAGGTTCAGGACATAGTATAAATAAGAAAGCAGAAAAATCCAGGAAATCCTTAGTTAACAAATGTTTTGTTTTAAACTTTATATGCTTTTCTTGATCTCTGAAAATCATCTTTACAGTAGACACTAAACTGGGGGAAGTAAAAAAAGAAATTTTCCCTGACTTGAGCAAGATATTTTGACATACTGAAAGCATAGTTTGTTCTCAAGCTTTTCAGACTTAATCCAAAAGCTCATAGCGCTGGGGAAAGGTAAGAAACCAATGAAATACTCTATTAACAAAAGATCAAGCTTGTGTCAAAAAATCTAAAATGCTGCATGCTGACACCAAACATTACAGCATTTGGCAGCTGCAAGAGATTGAATTAGTGCAGTACTTCAAATTGAACAATCCCAAAGGATGTTGTAGCCATGTTGGGCCAAATTCAGCCAGGAGGTAACTGTATCAATTTTACTGGATTTGTACCCAGAGGAATTTGGTCGTTTTTGTTGTGGCCAAAATGCAATGCTCAGGTTTAAATTGAGCAGCTGTACAAAAGTTATGGCTTTTTTTAAAAATAAATAATTTAAAAATTCATCCAGTTATTTCAGGTAAGCACAGGTACTACTTCAGATAATTGATTCTGCTGTTTTCATCACGGGCTTCTAGTGCAAACTGGGTTGCTGAAAAGTGAAAAGGAAGGAAATGGGAACAATTTTGAGAAAGTTTTTCCACTTGTGGTGTACATTGATATTTGTTGTTTCTATGTCGTGATTATCCTCAGTCCACCCCGTTCTAGATTTAGGACCTGTTTAGGTCACAAGTGTTCCCGTTCTGTCTAAAGCATCATCTTTGTCTGGTATTTATTACATAGTCCAGTGGACTGAACGACCTGTGAGTGGGCCAAATGCCAGATGAAAACATGCACAGGCTGGAGGCAGCCAAAAAACTACTGGACAGTCATTGAGAAGCTATGAGGGTTTTTGTCCTGTTATGCTTTGGTTTTGTATCTATGTGTTTTTTGAAAACCACAAACTCTACTCTGGAAAATACATATTTTGGCTTTGTACAGGTTTCTATATTCTGTTCAGCCTACTCAACAGTATATTAACCTTTGTCATATGATTTTTCTCTTACTGTCTCCATGGGAAAAAAGTGTTGGAACCGTAGTCCTTGTTGTGTGGTGTTTAGGTTTATTATTTCAATGTTTGCATTACATGCAAATGAGAAACTGCATCTTGCTTTGGAGGTAAAGGTAGCCAACAGTTCTTGAGCAAGTTCAGGAAACCTGATGCTTGTATAGAGCTGATGTAAAAAGTGTGGCAGTGGGTAACTGTTGTGTATCAAAGGGAAGGATTTTCCTTATCCTGTCTCAGAGCAGTAGTGAGCCATTTCAGCAGCCATTACAATAATTTCTGTATCTCAGGAGGCTCAGAGTTGCTGTAGCAACCTTTTGCTAGATCGGAATTTGGCTGGTGAAGCCCTGTAGGAATCTGCTCCCACTCTCGACTAACCTCTCACATCACCGGTCTCAGCTGCTGGGGAGAAACCCCAGCTGCGAATCAGGCAGGGTGAGAGATCTCTTTCCACAGGTTCCTCACAAAACCTTCCCCTAATTACCAGGATCAGATGCTTTTTGGCAGTTTTCCATAGAGACAGAGCTTTTCTATGTGTGCAAAGTTCTCTGCCTGAACCCAAATTGTAAAAATGGTCATAGTAAATTTTGTGCATACAAACAAGCCCTTATTCATGCACTTGCAGATACAGAAACTGAACATGCAAAAGTAGGGAGTGCAGTTTTAGAGACCAGTGTGGGAAGTTTGACTGGGAGGCAGCAGTAGTTCTGGTAACACAAAAGAAGTATTCTAAAGTCACTGAGGGGATCAGGCAGATGGGAACAGACTTGAGTAGGAAGGAATACAGACAAGGTCCCCAAAGCCTGTTACTTAGATTTGCATAAAAAATGAAGTGTGAAGTTGGTCAGAGCATGAAGGGATGCATCACTGCTAAACCAGTTCCTTCAAAAGTGTGAAGTAATTTCTAGAGTAATGAAAGACAGTTTTTTGGCCTTCCAAGCTGCTGTATGGTTGAGAATAATATTTGGAAGATTTTATTTATAGATAATATTGCCCAATGGTTGTAGAGAAAATACAGTTATTTTGGACTCTTGGCTTTTATTTCTAATTCTACAGGTGATTGGCATTGTCAAACCACAGGACCCTGTATGTAAAGCCTAGAAAACAATAAATAATATGATAATTAAAACAAGACTTTGATGTAATTACATAGTTCAAATAACAACTTAAGCTGTCCCAAATCTGGTACTTCTGCCAAAAGAAGTCATGCTCCCACCTTACACCTTGCTGCTAGTCTCCATCCCTGTATCCTCCCTCACTATGTGGTCACAGGCACTGGAAAGTTATCCAGGGAAGAAAAAGTTGATTTTGACCAGGTAGATTCGGTGTTCAACCCTACAAGCAATTTTAGCATTACAGCTGACAGACAGGTCAGTCACACTGTGAACTGAATGCTGAACAAGGCTGGCTGAACTTTTTTCCCTGCATTACTTTTCAGGTGACCAGCTCTGTGATGTGGCTTGCAATCGTGCTGCATGAGCACTGGTGCCAACATGATTGAGGGGTGGCACAGCTGCACAGGGGCAGGGATGGCAGGAGCAGGGAACCAACTGCAGCACCTTGAATCCAGACTGGGATGTCAGAATGCCAGCTATAGCCTCAGTCTTTGGAGGGCTCAGTTAAGCAAGCATGCTCAGAGCTTTTCTGACAGCTGCCAGATGAGACTGGGTCTTCCTAAGACACTGTGCTGCCTTCTGTTGTAACTCTGTTGGAGGAGGAGATGGCATAACTATTGTTTTCCTTTTAAATTTTGGTGCATGATTATTGATTTGGAATCAGGACATATCGGACCAGTTTCTTCCTTGGTTTCCAGTTCCTACTCCCAGGTCTGCTTCTGTAATTCATTAATAGGCTGCTTGGACTAAAATATCAGTCACGAAGCAGGTACCAAAACCAGTGGTAGTCTGAATTCACATGCCAAGCTGGAGAACTAGATGTCTGAGGAGTCAGCCCACACTCATTTTTGCCAACTGTGTTGCAGGGCAGCTACTTCTGGCAAGCAGACAGCTAGGGAACTTAAATTTAAAATTGTCCGAAAAAGATCACCAAAGCTAGTCTTGAAGGACTCTGAGGCTCTTTCCATAGTAGAGATGTACCAGTTTAACAAAATGAATTCTGAGTCTATGAGGTTAAACCAGGTTGAATTCTTAAAGCTAAGGCAAGATTTACCTCTTGCAGATATTATTTTAAGTTGTACAGACAGGTCACTAAATACAACAAACTGTGAAAAATATAGTTAAGCAAGTTTTGATTTGTGTATGTAATGATTTTCACTGGCTTAAAGCACAGGTAAAGCAAGGTGAGTTCCAGAAGACAATCTCTGTGTTGTGTTTTTTTTTTTTTTTGTTTTGTTTTTTTTTTTTTAACCAAATACCTTACAATCTGAAGCACTTCTTAATTATACAAGGAAGAAAAAATCTATACTGACAGGTTTCTCAGGCTGCAGAGGGGTGTTAGGCCTCAGACAGAAAGTGGGCCCATGTATGGTTATAGTCAGCTAAATGTGTCACTGAGTGGCAGTAAGAAAGGCGAGTGGGCTTTGGAAAGCTGACTGATCTCTGTGCACTAGCAAAGTAATCAAAACTGAATATGGACTGTGCCCTAGTTAGACTTATTCTAACTATTCAAAGCTGTGTGTCATTTCATGCAATTTGGGATACAGCCTGGGCTCTGCTTCGGGGGTGTGTATGTATGTGTATGTTTTTTACTGTATATTTTTAAAAAGAGCACCCAGTTCTGAGGAATCTATTCCCAGCTAAAGCACACAAGCTCTGGAAAGGTCAGAGAGGCATCTCTAGCTTTGGTAAATAAACAAATCTCTTCTCTGTGGCTGGGATGTTGTATTAATAGCAGTAGATTTGGTTTCGCATTGTGGAGCTCCTCCTGTTTCATTGCTATTGAAGATAAGAGAACACAAAATGTTCTGTCACCCTCCCCACAAGAAAACGAACCAACAAGCAGAGACTATTATGTTTAAAGATATTACTGAGGCAAAGAC